GTCTGCTGAGCAGCGGGGACCGGGAGCTGCGGTTTTCTGTGCCGTCGTGGAGATGGCAACCCTCGTATCCATTTTCTTGCTCCTCGAGGGTGGTCCCGGGTGGCAGCCTGGCTTGGTGACCCCCCTGACCGCAGCACCCCGACTGGGCCTGCTGCACGGCGAGGGGGGGAGCATGGGTGGCGGCCCTGCCCGGGGCAGTCATGTTCCTATTAATAAATCCAGCGACAAACCGCTGCTTCGCACAAAGGCACTCGGACACCGCACCTGGCGCGCTCGGGGGGCCTCTGAGGTCACCGGCCCCGGAGACAGCGTGGGAGGCAGGGTCCCCGTCCCCGCTCCCGCCGGCTCCTGCAGGGGGCGCTGCTGTGGGGGCTTGGTGATGGACGCAGACATGAAATGATGGCTCCAAACTCAGCACGGCTCTCGCTCCCCAATGACGTTATTTTTGCTCGGGAAGGGTTTAAGCCAGAGAGGTGAAATGTATTCCTACGGTTTTTAGGTGCTTTAAGAATTCGGGACTTTATACGTGACCAATAGCAGTGGCTGTAAAGGGATTCCATGTTTCCATGAAAAGTGTGCGTGTGTGATTCGTATATCCTAGTTCTAGGTGCTTTGATTGCGGAGACGAAGATGGGAAAAGAATAAAAACTTCCTCACCCCCCCATCTGGTCCATCCTGAATTCTGAAACACAGAATATTTTTGTAGCAGGTTCAGTGGTTGACTTGTGTTTGTTTCTGTTGGAAACTTTTTATTTATTTATTTTTTCAAATATATTTTTAATTGATTTCAGAGAGGAAGGAAGAGGGGGGAGATAGAAACATCAGTGATGAGAGAGAATCACTGATGGGCTGCCTCCTGCACGCCCCTCAGTGGGAATTGAGCCCCCCAAAACCCTGGCATGTGTGCGGAATCGAACCTGAGACCCTTTAGTCCGCAGGCCAACTCTCTATCCACTGAGCAAAACTGGCTAGGGCTGCTGAAAACTTTATACCTTCAGCCTGCTTCTCATGAATAACAGTTTGAAGAATTAAAAAAAAAAAAAAAAAAAAGCTTGTATTTGTAACATCCCCCAGGGCCTGACAATCACAGCATTGCCCGGGTGGGTGGATGCAGGCCAGTGGGGGCTTTACCCCTGTTGGTGTGCCACCCGCAGACCCCACACGGGACCAGTGCTTTGGGGACCGCTTCAGCCGCCTGCTGCTGGCCGAGTTCCTGGGCTATGATGACATCCTCATGTCCAGTGTGAAGGGTCTGGCTGAGAACGAAGAGAACAAGGGTGCGATTGGGACCAGGGCTGGGGAGGGTGTGGGGTACAGTGTTGGGGGCTGGAGGGCAGACCGTGGGGCTCACAGCCTCCCTGTATAGGCTTCCTGCGGAACGTGGTGTCAGGCGAGCACTACCGATTTGTGAGCATGTGGATGGCCCGAGCATCCTATCTGGCTGCCTTCATCATCATGGTCATCTTCGTGAGTGTCTTGATACTGGGCTGGGCAGAGGGTGTGGGGGCAGGTGGCCCTTCCCCAGCCTTACACACCTTCCTTTGCAGACCCTGAGCGTGTCCA